GATGAGTGGTGGAATTTCAAGATTAAGGTTAGTTTTTTTTTATTGTTGTTTAACTTGTTTTAGTACGTGTTTTTAATTTTAACTACTTAGAAGTTATTGTAAGCTTTAATTTTGTATAGGAGAATTCCGCATTTAAGCCATTTCAAGAAGAAGGGGTTGAACCTGAACTTGAATATAAGATGGATCAAATGTTTGGTTTTTATGCCCAAGGTGCATTAAAATACACTCCGGTGTGTGATCTCACAGAAGAACATATGCAAGTTGAAGATGATAATGTGGTACTCCTCGCAATCACGTTGACGACATAGATGCTTCATATAGTGGTGGTAATTCTAATACTCGTGAAGCATGGGATGATGTATGGAGAGACGATAGCCCCCCTCCTTTCTCTCCTATTGGTACACAAATGGAAACAGGTGAAAGAAGGAGCAATAAGAGAGTTGCAGTGAATGATGCACCACAATCTAATAAGAGTGCACGAGTTGAAACCACAAAGAGAGCAGGTAAAACTAAATCATTGGGTGACAAACTTGATAACATGATGCAGCTCATTGGAGAAAGGAATGATACATCTAAGGGAGTGCATTTGTCAATGATGCATGTCATGGACTCAATGATCACACCAAAGAATGGGGAAATTATTGAAGCATTAGCAAAACTATGTGCTTTGCCGGATTTAGATCCAAGCACACCTGAATTTTATTTTGCTTGCACGATGATTGAGGATCCACAAAAAAGATGCATTCTCCTAAGGTTACCAAATGACCAGATGAGAGTTGAGTACATCAAGTTTGTGTATGCTGAGCAGAAGAAGATTTAAAAAGACATCACTATGTTTGCATTAGTATTTTTCTCTCTTTTAAACTTAGTAATGAACTTATGTTATGGATTGCCATATTTTCGTAACTTTATTAATCTAGAAACTTTCTTATGAGCTTATATGTTATGGATTTCCATATTTCAACAACCCTATTAATGTACTATATATGCTTGTCATGTTTGGATTTAATACATTGGCATTATGATTTTGCTATATTATTGAAATTTCTTGTAACCATGTTATTAATTATTATTGGCTTACAGTATTAGTACTTGTATTTTTGTAGGCATGGATGATACTTATATAATCATTCGGAAACTTATCCTAATTAAAGAGTATTTGGATGATGATGATGATGAATTTTGGGATTTGGTAGTTTGTACTACCAGCTATATGTATGTGTACTTTATGAATCACATATACAAAGAACGTTGTATGACATTCTACTTAACCGGACAAAGATGGATGGGTGAATTGTTGTGTGGTCATGAAAAACGGTGTTTTAATGCATTCAGAATGAATCCGAGTACGTTTCGTCAATTATGTGTAGATTTGGAAACAAAGTATGGATTAGTAGCTTCAAGTAGGATGTCAACTTTGGAGAAACTTGGCTTGTTTGTGTATGTTCTGAGTAAGGGTTCTTCTAATCGAGATACTCAAGAACGTTTTCAACATTCGGGTGAAACTGTGAGTAGAATTTTCAAAGAGGTATTGAATATCATGGTAGCATTTTCAAGGGACATGCTTAAACCTAAAGATCCCGAGTTCAAAGAGGTCCCAACACGGATTGTCAATGATGCTAGATATATGCCACATTTTAAGGTAACTTGATACCATGGTTATTCCTTTTAGTTCATTAAATAAACTATTGGTGCCTACCGGATTAAAAAAAAATTAAATAAACTATTGGTGCAATTTTTTTAGTGGTATTTTAATATTAGGATTGCATTGGAGCGATTGATGGAACCCATATTGCAATAACTGTTAGAGAGGAAAATCAAATGCGTTATAGAGGGAGGAAAGGGATACCAACCACAAATGTTTTGGCAGCATGTGATTTTAATTTATTATTCACATATGTTTTGACTGGATGGGAGGGGACTGCACATGATGCTCGCATTTTCCTCGATGCAATCAATAATCCAAGTCTCAATTTTCCAAAACCACCTCCAGGAACTTGATTTTTTTTATACTAAGCGCATGTCAAATAAATGGTTTATCATATTCTTTTTATGTACATATATAGGTAAATATTATTTAGTTGATAAAGGTTTCCCGGAAAGACAAGGGTATCTCACACCTTACTTCAAGACAAGGTATCATCAAACAGAATTTCGTGCTGCAAATCCAAGGGGATCTCGAGAAGTGTTTAATCGAGCACATTCATCTCTAAGAAGTTGCATTGAGAGGGCTTTCGGAGTCCTAAAGGCTCGGTGGAGAATATTACAAAAAATGCCCATATATTCATTATGTGACCAGAATAAGATAATTTGTTCTTGTTTTGCATTGCATAACTATATTCGGAAAAGCACTATTGGGGATCCGGGTTTTAATATCATTGATCAAGATCCAGATTTCATACCAGATGATATCTTTCGCGACGTTGAGTCTACTTCTGAACAAGACGTTGAACATATGAGAGTCCGCGAAATGACAGTTATTTGTGATAGTATTGCAGCTAGTTTAATGGAAAGGAAAAGGCGCTCTTAGAGAATAGTATGATTTTTTTAAAGATACGTTATCATTACGATTAAGTGACTCTTAGTATTTTGATTATGGTGACATTGTATTTAAATGCATTTTTTACTTTTGTTAGACAACTTTTCTTAATGTATTTTTACTTATAACTCAATTTAGCTTTGTCTTGTGGCACGGAAAGTCCACTGAGGAAAATGTATAGAGTCTTGTTATAAAATAAACTACGTAATTTTTTATCTTAAAATAATAATAATAATAATAATAATAACAATAATAATAATAATACTAATAATAATAATAATAATTGATGTAAAGTAAATTTTACATTTTTGAATCATAAAAACGGTTTAGCTTCCTTCCTCTAAAAAAATGGTTTAGCTAGGAAATTATATGCGAAGTATTAATTACATTAACTAAAAAAATAATTGATGTCCTTAATAGTCATTTAATAAGATATCAGCTAATTTCAAACAGCCGTTTAACCAAACACTATTTTACTAACGGCTAATACTATCAGCTAATTAAAACAGCCAACGAAATCCGCTGATGTCAATCAGCCAACAAATTCGGCCAACAGCTAACAGCCAACAACCAATTGCCAAACACCCCCAATACATTTATGGATATAAGTCATGCGCACACTTATAGAGATGAGTTTCGAGAAACATAATAAATGAAGCTTATAGTTTTTTCAGATTCAAAGTGCAATGACCGCTTCTTCATGGTTTGCTAAATAATATCAGTACAAATATAATCAAGATCCTGGTGGTATAAAATTTTGAGACATGTCCTTTTCTCTAGTGAGGAGGGAGGTGATAATAAAGTGTAGTCTGTAGTAATAATTTTGAACAAATTAAAAAGAAGAGAAATTGCCTAAAAGAGGAGTAAAAGTTTATGAAAATTCTTAAATAGGAGTACTAATGTTTTATTTCCCTTAATAGGAGTTTCTTACTCCTATTCAAAAACATACGAAAATTGCCTTCCAAATTTGACCCTGCTTTGTTTACGTCATATTATTACTCCAGATTACGCCAGAATTGATAACCGTTTTTCTCTCTTCCGCCGCCTTTCCTTCCTTCCATATTTTCATTCTACCCAATTTCACGTTAACCAGAAAATTGTATCATGTTTTCTTCTTTGAACTTCACTGCCTAGTATCGTTGCTTTGCTTAATGGCATACGACCAATCTGGTAATCCTCTCCAGCTGCTATTGCTTTTATTGAACACAATCACCTCTTACACTTTCGTTTTTATCAATTTTGACGGAGTAGTTGATTTCAATGAATTACTCATCAATTGATGTTCATACATATGAATAATATTGCTGTTGTTATTTATTTTCATGTTATGCTCTTCTCTAAGATCACTCTTCGTTATTTGTTGATGAAAATTTACTGGTTTGACGAAGTAGTTGATTTCAATGAATTTGTCGTCAATTCATGTTCATACATATGTATAACATTGTTGTTGTTGTTGTTTATTTTCATTTTCTACTCTTCTCTAAGATCACTATTCGTTATTTGTTGATGAAAATTCACTGGTTTGACTACAGAGTTTCACTTTCTCTATAAACAAATGTTCTTCCAAAGTTTGGCTGATGTTATGTTTTTGAATTGCCAATTTTTTCCTTTAGTTATTCTGTTAATCGTTTTTATGCCATATATGTGCTATTTCGCATAATATGAAGTGTACCTGTGTCATTGGAATGTTGCATAAATATGTTTCAAATTTAATTATTTTTATTCTTTTTCTGTAGTTATCCATATGGATTCTGTTGTTTTGATAATGCTGAGCTTGGATGGTAGCAGGGACAGTGATTACACTTTTACTTGTAAAGACAAATTTGGTATCCACATTCCATACTGTGCCACATTCGATGACTTTATGTCTCAACTTTCTTCAATTTCAACTACATACAAATCACATAGCCACTTCAAATTGTCTTATATGGTTGATCAATGCCCTCCACCTGTTTCTTTACATGATGAGGATAGCTTTCGTTTATTTCTTCACCTTAAACTTCTCCAATCTGATTTTCATAAACTGTCTTTGTGTGTGGAATTTTCAAGTGATTTTCCTCATCCACTCACTGATTTTCTATCACGCACCGCCATGTTTGCTATTCCTTCTCCATCAAATGAAGGTTGTTCTGATTATCACCATTCTTATCATACAAATAATTCTAAAGAGGGCCATTCTTCCACTTTTAATGACCATATACAGAATTGTGCACCAACATTTAACCACTCACCATCCAATCATGTTGTCGTTGTCAATGAACCAAGATGTTCTAGCCCTTCTATCTCACCTCCTTCTCATTCATCTTGTTTTGATATATATTCTATTCAACACAATTTGGAAGTCATCACTCATTATCATCCTACTCAGATAATTGTCGATGGTATTTACAAGTCTAAGGCAGACCTCAAACATCATTCAATGTTGTACGCCATAGATAATGGTTTTCAATACAAAACGCGCACATCAAGAAAAATAGAGTTGCACGTTGTTTGTTTTCACGAAAAATGCAAATGGAGTGTGAGGGCTGTTAAGCTCCGTGGGGTCCTCATGTTTCAAATCAGAAGGTATTGTTCTATCCTTTGTTATGTTACTTGTATAAATCTCTGACATTATTTTATGCCACATTATTGGATGAATGGATGTTATTCCAAATCTTGGCATTTTATTCATTCTGCCTTTTCATGTCACAGGTTTGACTCATTCCACACATGCTTAATGGATTTTAGGCAAGGACAGCATCGGCAGGCTACATACCGAACCGTTGCAGAACTTGTTTCTCATAAGTTCTTGGATGCTTCTAGAAAGCCGTATGTACCAAATGAGATACGTGCTGACATGAGTCTCATGCATGGCATCTCCATGTCGTACAATAAGTCTTGGAAAGCTCAAAAGACTGCAATGCAAAAACAATTCGGATCAGATGCCGAGTCATATCAACTTTTACCCTCAATGGCCTATATGCTTGACAAAGCAAATCCACATTCTGTTTTTTCTCTTGTTGGAGAGATGATGATGTCTTCCAGTATTTTTTTATGTCTTTTGCACCTTGGATGGAGGCATGGAATTTTTGCAGACCTATTCTAATTGTAGATGGATCCTTTTTGAAGGCGTAGTACAAAGGAACATTTTTCACCGCTTGTGCCCAAGATGCCAACAACCAAATTGTTCCATTGGCCTTTGCAATTTGTGATACTGAGTCTAAAAAGTCTTGCCTTTGGTTTTTTTCTAAATTGTCGGAATCTCTACCATTTTGTGAGGATATGTACATTATATCTGACATGCATAAAGGTATAATTAGTGCCGCTAAACGGATCTTCCCTCATGCTAGGCATGACTATTGTGTTGAGCACTTGCGTCGTAATATGGTCCCCAAATTTAAGGGAAATGCCACTGATTTAGGTTGGGAATTCAAGGCTGCATATATAAGGCTGCAAAAATCAAGGAATTTGAGGAATATATGGCCTTGTTGGATTCTCAAGATGTTCGTATACGCCCTTGGCTTGAAAAAATCGGTACTCACAAATGGGCAAAGTGTATGTATGGTCCAAGCCGTTATGATGTGATGACTTCAAATTGCGCCGAATCAATGAACAACGTCAATGCTCCTGCCAGGGAGTATTGTATTGCCAAGGTTATTGACTTTATTAGGGAAAGGATGCAAAAGTGGTTTGTTGAAAGAAAGGAAATCGCTGAAAACACTCAAACTATTTTGACAAACAAACGGGAGAAGCATCTGGTTGATCTTCAAAGCCAATCTGCTAAGTTGAAGGTCATTCATTTAATATTTGTGATCTCAACATGTATTGCAGTGCATTCTCCATACGTGTATTACCAACTGAAACTTCCAAATATTGGCATTTATGCCACATATTTGGTATCTCAATTGCATACCTACCAGCATTCCTTTGATTACAAATTCAATTCACATTTGCATTTTATTTACACTCAGTAATCATATTTCAGGTGAAGCCCACATCATATTTTGAGTTTGAAGTTGTTGATAGGCATTGTCGCTCCTTTGTAGGGGATCTTCAAACTCGAACATGCACGTGTGGAGAGTTTCAACTCAATCATTTTGTCTGCATTCATGCGGTTGCTGCTATCGGTCTCCGCCCTCGTGAATCGTGTTATGATTATATTTCCCCATATTACACACGAGATTATTGGCTTTCTACATGGAGTGGTGTTATGCACCCTATTTGTGATAGAGAATCTTGGTCGGTGCCTTCTAATGTATCCAATATTCGATGTAAGCCTCCAACCTGTTTGAAAAGACCACTTGGTCATCCCAAGAAGTCAAGAACACCTTCTATTGGTGAGCATCGTGGAGGAAACGGCAAAAATGTTCTCGGTGCAACATACTTGGTCATAATAAGAAGACTTGTCACAATCCTATTCCAGCAACATGTCATTTGGAATGATTTTATAAGTACTTGTTCGTATTCCACTTTGATCATATAATAAAACTGAACTTGTTGTCTCTAAAGCATTTACTGACACATACCCTATCTGGAACATGTCCTTTTATTGTTATGCTAGTTTTCCCATTACTTGTTATCTCTTTTATCTTTTGTGCCATAGTGATTTTGGTTTCTTTTATTTAATTATTCCAATTCCAATTCAACTTTTTGATTACATAGTATAGGTTAATTTATCTGGATTGATGGGTTCTTTTCACACATATAGTGGAAAATCTCCTAAAAAGACTAAAATGCATTAATTTTAAAATGGACTGTCATGTTATATTATCTCCTAAACAAAACTAATCTATTCCAAGTTTGGCATTAACGAACTTTAAACATGGACTCATATCCTTTTCATATAAACTAATTGCTATAATGTCATCCCAATTTAATTTCATCCCTTAACCTGCATACTTCTGCCAACAGTTCTATTTGTTATTCCATGTTTTTGGCAATTTATTCCATTATGCCCCACAATAACAAAACGTATAATAAAACATGCATACTTCTGCCAACAAGTTTTGTAAACATCAACTTTTTGAAATCAAACATAAAATTCAAAATTGGTCTGCCATTTTATAATCTCCTAAATAAAATTATTTAAAGCCAAGTTTGCCATTAACAAACTTTAAACATGGACTCATAGCCTTTTCATATAATTTTCTCTTCTTTATTCCAACTCATAAAGAGAAATATATTTTTTTACTCATAAAGACTAATTGCGATCATATCACCCCAATTTAATTCCATCCCTTAACCTGCATAATTCTGTCAACATTTCTCTTTGTTATTCAATGATTTTGGCAATTTATTCCATTATGCCCCACAATAATACAACATGCATACTTTTGCCAACAAGTTGTGTACAAATCAACCTTTTGCTTCTCCTTCCATATCACATTTCCCCATATTACTATAATACGACCATAATAACATTCAAGTAACATATACTTGTAATAAAATCTCACAATCCAAGTTTACTTAGTCACACATATTTAAAGTCAACCAAAACATAACAACATACAAAATGCGTTCACAAGAACTCATTGTTTAACCGAAAGCTTTCAAAAACCAGAAGTCTTAGTTACATATTCATTATCTAGAAAAAGAGACATTAAATGGCATCACTTTCTCTCTGTCTTCACTCGTTGTTTTTCCTTCATTTCCTTGGTCCTCTTTTTGCTATACAGGATGAGCTCGGTGGTCATTTTCTCTCTATACATCGTCATATCATCTCCATCTATCTCATTAATGTCCATGCCCATTATCAAGAATTCTGCAATCTTTAACACATACATACCACAGTTTCTCCTGCCACAAATAAACACCATATGACTCCTATTAAGTATGAATTTTTTTTATTCTATTTAAATGTGTAATTAAAAATATGTTTTACCCATCATTTTGCTGTGGACACTCTTGAACACCTTCCACCTCTAGTTTTCTATCTCCCATGGTCTCTTCTCCAATATCTCCATACACTTTATGGATATCCATGATCTTCGGGAGCAGGCACTGCACACTTGGAATATATTGTCTAATCTCCCTTGTAGATTCCCCTCTTCTGCTAAGCGAATTATAAACCCGAATCTTTCTTTCTTTCACCTCCAAGACTAGTAAGACCCAGTGATTTCCCGTGTTGAGAGGCATAAATACGTAGTCAGATTCTGCCCAGCTAAGTGTATACTTCGAGGTAGTTCCCAAAATATGGTTCTCTATAACTGACACTTCTGCTGCCTTTTCAGCCGTTGACTGAGAAATCAATATTTTTTCATGTTGACGCTTCAAGACTTCCAAGAAATAAGGGCTGCATGTAGCGTAAGGGAATTGGAGCTTAAACTGAAATTGTTTAATAGCCAAGTAGAACATCCCTATTTCAATATGCTGCAAAGAATCATTGTATAAGTTATCAACCACTACAAACAATTTTGATTTCATCATATAAACATACATCAAATTGAAGTTCAAACGTACCGTCGTATCTAGCCATTCTTTGTTCATAAACAGCTTGTATAGCCATATCTTAGACTCTATTTTCATAGTGTCAAATAACATCGGCTCACTGTTCATGTTGTCTTCTCCCATTGTATAGAATCTTCCGTTTTCTTCAACCGCTTCAGCAATCCAGTTTTCAGAAACACCCGCACCTTCTCAACTTCTTCATTTGGTGTTGGCTCAGTGGGATCCTCTGCAAAAGGACCATAATTTTTTGGCAGAAAATAGCTCATTTCTTCCCTTCTTTTGGCAATTTTTTTCCTCCTCTTTCGTGTAACACTATCTTCAGCTGGTGTGTACCGATCAGGTGATTGTGCCTTTCGCTTTGGTCTTCCATGCTCCACTATATTTTCATGTCCCTTTCAAGATTAAAAAAAAATATATTCAAAGTAGTTAATCACATTACTACAAACCTTACATAAAAAAATGAATACTGATATTTGAATTAGTTAATCTCTTCTTATTTGTCATCTCTCACCTGAACTGGTTGTCTTTTGCACCCCATTTTCTGCCCTTCCTGCATTTGAAAACATTCATGCTTATTTTTTCATATGCATTCTTCCTCACATAAAGATATTTGAAGTAGTTATTCACATTACCTCAGTGTTGATTGGTGGTATTGTGCTGGTTCCTCTACTTACATCACTCCCTAACACTTGTTTTTTCACGTTGTCAACATTTGTGATCAATTCATTCATAAAATGAGTGTTCACATCATCCCAGATATCTGCTTGCTCTCCTTTTTCTTTCCCATCACACTTTTCTTCCTCTGCCTTTACTCTTTCTTCACTACCTTCCTCATTTTCTCTTTCACCCTCTAACCCTACTATTTCCTTGCTAGCTTCTTCATCTGCATTATCATCTTCCATTCTTTCCTCATTTTCTTTTTCATACTCTTCCCTCGAATCCTCCACTCTATCATCACGCATTTTCTTTTGAGTCTTTGGCCCAAATATGTTGAAATTTGGTGCCCCTAATTCTGCATCCTGCTTTCCAGTACCCACACTACCTCCTTCTGCACTCTTCTCTTCTTTCTTCTCCACTTCATCCTCTATAGCTTCACCTTTTGTCTCCTGATGTTGTGTTAACTTCTTCAGGTGTGAGAGTATTTTCCCTAGTTTTAAGTGTTGGCTTTTCTGTTCCTTTTTCATTGCTGTCACTTCTGCCACCAACTTGGCATTTGCTTCCATTATCTTCGCATTTTCATCTCTAATCTTCCTTATATACTGATGGAGAGTTATATTCCACATGTGTGTAGTACCATTTGTATGCTAATGTGCAGTTCTTTCATAAATAATGTGGTGGTGAGAGAATTAAGAGCCAATAAATATTTGGTGATAGATGCCACACAACTAATTAGGATACTGGCCATTCCATGAAGATCATAGACAAACAAAATTACTCCACAGATACATCGACAAGTTTATAACTAATTAGCGACAAACACCGAGTTTCATGGGCATGCGTGATAGGTATAGAGCTTGATATATATATATATATATATATATATATATATATATATATATATATATATATATATATATATATATATATATATACATATATATATATATATATAGGTAAGAGATCAAATGCAAACCATGCTTAAAATGTAAACTCATGAAAACTCTGACAACCGGTGATATTTTTGGCTCAAAGTTTTTGTGTATGTTCCTCATCAAGTCTAGTTCATATATACCAAATTTGAGCAAAAAATTCAATCGGGAAGGTCATCAAATGATTTTTGAAAGAAAACTGCATTTTATATGTATTTTCCGGACCAGTTTTCTTTCAAAAATCATTTGATGACCTTCCCGATTGAATTTTTTGCTCAAATTTGGTATAGATGAACTAGACTTGATGAGGAACATACACAAAAACTTTGAGCCAAAAATACCACCGGTTGTCGGAGTTTTCACGAGTTAGTATGGGAGAACTAGTTAGTATGAGATCTCACCCCTATATATATATCTATATATATATATATATATATACATATATATACATATATACATATATATATACATATATATACATATATACATATATATATACATATATATATATATATATATATACATACATATATATATATACATATATATATATATACATATATATATATATATGTATATATATATATATCTGTCTAGGGGTGAGATCTCATACTAACTAGTTCTCCCATGCTAACTCGTGAAAACTCCGACAACCGGTGGTATTTTTGGCTCAAAGTTTTTGTGTATGTTCCTCATCAAGTCTAGTTCATCTATACCAAATTTGAGCAAAAAATTCAATCGGGAAGGTCATCAAATGATTTTTGAAAGAAAACTGGTCCGGAAAATACATATAAAATGCAGTTTTCTTTCAAAAATCATTTGATGACCTTCCCGATTGAATTTTTTGCTCAAATTTGGTATATATGAACTAGACTTGATGAGGAACATACACAAAAACTTTGAGCCAAAAATACCACCGGTTGTCGGAGTTTTCACGAGTTTGCATTTTAAGCATGGTTTGCATTTGATCTCTTACCTATCTATATATATATATATATATATATACATATATATATATATACATATATATATATATATATCTATATATATATATATATGTATGTATATATATGTATATCAATCATTCGCTGGTTCATTCTGATGTACTGCCTAGAAACACGGTTAACGGTTTCAGGGACATATTCAAGGACAAGACGAACTGTTACCTAAAAGTATCAAACTAAGATATTGTCACGTGTGCAATAAATAAACATCTAAAACAACATTTATGTCAAACATGAACACAAAATTACTCCCATGGTGACACTATATTAAACATCAAAATAATCTACTGCTATGCCACATGCGTATTATGATTTCGTGTAAAGCTTAAAGAAGCAATGCAACCACTCAGGGAGATCTTTTAACTTCGTATCAAGAACAATTA